CAGGCCCGCCGGCCCCACCCCTGCTCTGACTCCGAGCACACACTCCCACCGCTGCTGTTCCATTCCAGGACAAGCCCCCTCGCCTCCAGCTGGACCGTGCGACAGCCTCCAGTCTGGCCTTCCTACCTCCCCACTCCCATCTGCTCTCCATACACAGCTAGTGCCCTGTTTCACACTTAATTCAAACCGTGTCGTTCCCCTGCACAAAACCCTCCATGGTAATTGTTGGAGCTCGGTGATGGTTACATAGGGATTCATTATACGCTTCCCTCTCCTGCATATAGTTGGAAATTTCCATAATCAAAAGTTTAAAAAAGAAAAGAATGTTAAGAGGTCTGGCCCAAGTGTACATGCAGGAGAAGTCTGCTCAACCCAACTGATTAATTCAAGTGTGGTTGAGCAATGTTTCTGGGTCCTGGTAGCAAATTAGAATCACAGGGAGAGAGTTTTTTAAGTGCTAATGTCCTGGCCTCACTCCCAGAGACGGTTTTAATTGGTCTGTGGCAGAGCCTGGCGTTGGTGTCTTAAGAAAGCGTACTTATAGGGTGATTTAAATGTGCACGTGAGTTGAGGGCTGGACAGAGGTCCCTCTCACAGAGAAGTTCAAAGGGACATAGGGCCAGTGTGGAAGGAGACTGCAGTTAAGTCCCGTGTGGAAGGGACCATTCAAAACAGGCGCTTTTTACATCCAATCAGAAATGAAATAGGGCCCTTTATAATCAGAAAGCCAGAGTCAGCAAAGAGGAAGGGGAAAGATCATTCTTGGTGTCGCATTTCTCCTGGGCAGGAGGAAAGGGACATGTTCCCGTATTGCTGGGATCAGTCCAAGCGGATACGTTTTTGGAAGGCAACTTTGCGGTCTGGACAGAGTCTTAAAAGTGGCCACACATTTTGACAGTGAATTTCTACTTTTCGAAATGCACCCAGTGGAAGTGGCCAAGGGTAGATGCAGTTTTATTTACAAGGATGTTCACGGAAGTGTTAATTGTCACATGAAGAATGGCGTGGGGGGGAACCCTTGACGTCCAATCAAAAAGAATGGCTAAAAAAAATTACAATACATTAAAAAAGAACCACCAAATTCTTTAGGAATTCCCAATACCATTGGCATGAGCTCCACATTTCCCCAAAAGCCTACAAGACCTGGTCTTGGTCCACTTGTCTGACTTTCTCCCTCTCACACTGAACTCCTTTACTCTGCTCCACACACATCGGCCTTCTTTTTAGTCCTTAACACACCAAACACAGTTCAGCCCCAGGCCATTTGCACATGCTGTTCCAGCCACCTGCAATGCTCTTGCCCCAGAGCACCCTGTCGTTGGCCTGTTCTAGCCATTCAGGTTTCAGCTCAAATGCCACCACTCAAGTAACCTTCCCCACCTGCCCCCACGCCCAGCCCCCGCTCTATCCCATTCCACTGGTTTATTCTCTTAGAGATAGTTACCATTCCCTGAAGTGATTTATTTGCTTGCAAGTTTATTACCTGTTTCTATCACATCCTAGACCGTAAGCTCCCTGAGGGCTGAGACCTGTCTTTTTCACGTCTGTATGCCTAACATTTAGAACAGTGCATGGAACATAGCAGGCCCGCAATAAATATTTTCAGAATGAATAAGGGAGGTAAGAGGGAGGCTATTCTGTGTTTAGTGGGTGAACAGGGGAAGCTTGGAGGGGAAGCGGGTAAGAGGCAGAGCCAGAATTCGAATTCCCCTGCACCACACCAGCCGCCCACAGGTGCCTGGGTGTGCTAATACCCTGACCTCATGCAGAAGTTGAGCTATCAACAGCGCCCCCTGTCTGCCAGACAAGTCACAGGACAGCCTCCGTCTGTTGGGCTCAGAGGAGCCACTGCCCTCAGATACCTGCAGGCAAAGCTGTACCTTTGCCTTCCCTTCTGGGTGCCCATGAGGGACCCAGGCCAGAAGCCGCTGCCACCCCGCTGCCTCGCAGGGACCCGCCTCCCAGTTGCGCACCTTGAGAAACATGCTGGACTTTCCCTAGTGGGAGCACAGTGATTCTCCCCTCAGTTGGAAGCCCTCCCAGGGGAAAGGTTACCCATACATTCACCGGGTGTTTCTTAAGCTTGACTCTGGGCCAGGCCAGAGCTGGGCTCACCCGGACGAGGCTGGTTTGGTTCCTGCCCTCAGAATCTAGTGGACAAAAATCAGACAGGTCAGCTTCTCAAACTTTAAGGTACGTGCCAATCAGAGCCTCAGTTTGCTCCTCTGTGAAATGGGGATAGGATGATACTACCTGCCCTATCTCCCTTAGTCTCCAAACAAGAATGTAATGCTTTGTAGGCTGCCCCACAAACTGGTCATCCTGAGTTGGCAGCGGGTGGGTGGCCTGAAGGTGAGAGAGAGACAGGCAGCCTTGGCACAGCCTGGGGAGGAAAGGGAGGCACTGGCTGGGGTTGCAAGGCCAAGCCTCACCCATGTGCCCCTTGCCCTCCCTCCCCACCCCAGCGCTCCTTCTGCAGCACCGTAGCCGACGAGATCCGTTTCTCCCTCACCTGCCAGCGTCGGGTCAAGCACAAGCCGCAGCCTCCCATGATGGTCAAGACTGACGCTGTCATCAACATGCACACATTCAACGATCGCCGGCTTCCGGGCAAGGACAGCATGGCCTGCAGCACACCATTGGCCCCTGTATTCCCCTAAGCACAGGTGGGGTGGGGACCGAAGGCCTGGGGGCAGGGCAGAGGAAAGCAAAGGAGACTGGAAGGCACCTCCCCCGTGCCCACACTGGGCTTGGGGACCAGGGCCGTTGCCTGCCTGCTGGGCCAGGAGCCTTCTGCCCTTACCTACCAGGAGACCAGCAGGCCCCCACTTGCCTCTCATTTCTTCTGTGGGTTTCTAAAGCTGCCAGCCGAGACAGCCAAGGCCAAAGGAAGCACATGCCTCTCAGGCCAAACTCACCTGCCCCTCAATTCTCCTCAACAGTCAGAAGTTTCTACCACGGCCCTGCAGAGGCCAAAGAAAATGAGAAACAGCTCTTATATTGCCACTCTTTCCCCATGAGCCCAGGCCTCCTGGGCCTTGACCGTGAGACCAGAGACAAACCTTGGGTACTTTAAGGGTTGTAGTGTGGCAGCCATTGGGAGCTGAAGATGGGATGGCCACCCCACATGTCTTGAGCAGAAGGAAGACCTTCACCCTCAGAGGCTGCTCACATAGTCCTGGTCTCAGGCAGCCCCCATCTTTGCAAAGTTGAAGGCAGAAAGCCCCATAGAGAAAAAGAGGAGTTTGCGGTATGGGAGAGAGGAGAATGCAGAGGCCGCCATCTTGAATTCTTATGGACAATGTCCAATGGCTCCCATTCCTCAAGGAGGTCTCCAGGAGTATAAAGTGGGGGGGAGTGGTCAGAGCAAATTTTCTTTCTGGCCCGAGGATAGAGGCCCCCCCCTGAATCTCTCACAAAGGATGACCAGAGATTCAGTCAGTATTTGAAGCCAGAAGAACAATGGATTCCATGGAAATCCCATAGGCCCTTGAGCCATTGGGTCTCATTTTGCTGGTCACTGGGCTGTTTTCTAAACCCTAGTGGCATTTGAGAGCTTGGGCACTTCGCCATCTACTCATCAGCAACTCTCCATTCCTGGCCAATTGACCTTGACCTCCTTCTGTCATCTCGGAAGGAGAAGAGAAGCCTAGGTTGAAGTGAACGTCATCACCCCTCCTCAAAAGAAGGATCACAGTCCTGCTGCACAGGCTAACTTTGGGGTAGATGGGGAAAGCCAGACGGTCCCTAAAGAACTCTTGGTGTCCTGGGCTTGCCAAACCTAAAGATGCTCCCCAGTAAAAGAAAGTTTTCAGGGACAGAATATCAGAGCTCATAGAGGCCCCAAGAACGGTGAAAGAAAAGCTGCCTCCTGGATAATTAACCAAAGACCCCACACAGAGACACAGGCCATCTTGGCCCCAGTCTCTTGTCCAGAGCAGCTTGGACTTAGTGGGGTTGGGGGGTACAGCAAAGAAATACTCGCAGATGGGGTAACAGTCGGGTGGACCAGATGATCTGTGGGTTCCAGCTAGGTAGAATGGATGCTCTAGAAGTCTTACGATTCTAGAAAAGGAATGAGACGTGGAAGGGTTAGGAGCAAAGTGTCCTTAAAGAGAACATGATGGGGCCAGCAGGGCTTCCCATTGCCGAGGGCAGAGGGCAGTCTCTGAGCAGGGGAGGGAGGGCTGGAGGTTCCGGACAGGGACCCAGAAGACACTAGTCACCGCCCTTCCTCCTCTGTCTTTTTTCTGCTCGGGGAGTCTGGTTAGGGAAGAGCTCCATTGAGATCTCGAGGGCCTTCTCAGTCGGGGTTAAGGGTAACCTCCAGTCCCACCCCCCAGGGACTCCCAAAGCAGGAGAGTGCAGTTGACTCGTGATTAATACTGTTCCTCCTCCAAGCTGTGAAGCTGCAGGACCAGACCAGCTGGCTCCCGCAATCCCAGCAGCTCCAACAGGCTGTGCGCTTGGGAGGCGGGAGAAGGGAGCTGGATGTGCGGCATCGCCAACACGTAATGACAGGAAAAGCCATGCTGTCGTGAGCTTCCATGTGTAGGAGTGTGTGCGTGCGTGCATATATGTGTATCTTTGTGTGTGCGTGAGCTTTAGGGGCTGGGGCTGAAGGACAGATTTGGACGTCTCACAGAGTCCAGGGCATGAAATGAACACAATCCCTGGGTTCTGACGTGTGTGTGCACACATGTGTGTGCATTTGGGATGAGGAAGACAGATCTGGACAAGCAGCAGAGCCCCATACACGTAAAAACAGAAGAAGCCATGTCTTAATGGGGTTCTGGTGAGTATACATATGTGTACACGTGTGCACAAGTGGGTATGCTTATGTGTGTGTGTGTGTGTGCACGTGCGTGCACATTTATGCGCCAGTGGCAGAGGTTGGAGGACAGGATAGAACCCGGAGCATCGCCAAATGTTGAAAAGGAGAAGCCATGTCATCAAGGGGTGCACGTGGGTGTGTGCGTGGGCTCGTGTGTGCAGCAGAGAGCAGGAGGGAGGACAGAAGCAGACAGACAGCCGGCACAGCTCAGTGCATGTATGCAAGAAGCCATGCGGAACTGGAGTTTCTCAGTGTTGGGGGAACGTGCTCGCACACGTGTGTTCACACTCACACATGTGCTCCCAGCTCGCAGTAGAAGCACAGATGGACAATCCAGCAAGGCAGGGAACCAGGGTCTATTTGCACTTCTGTTGTGGGGGAGAGATCGTCGGTCACAAGGATCTGTCGACATCGTGTGCTCTTGCGTATGACGCTCCGTGAACGTGCCGTGTGCTTCTGGGGCCGCGCGCATACGTGGACTGGCGGGGGGAGAAAGAGAAGTGGCATGAGCTGGGAAGAGGCTTCATCAGTGGCGTGAACAGTCCTGGGCATCAGAGGCACCATTCCCTCGGGAACCCCCTCTCCCCCAGAAAGTACTTAAGTGATTGGGGTGACAATGCTGCCCGACTCCCCCTCCCACTCAAGCCTTATGTCCGTGTGTGCGGCGAATGGGCAGACTCCGGCTGGTGCCCTCTGTTTGGCTTCGAGGCCAGCCCAGTGTTCAAAGTGCAGTGGAAACCGCTTCTGCCCAAGTGTGAGCTGTCGTCTCTCCCGGGGCAGAAGAAGTGCCGGGCGGCACTTCTGGGGCAGAAGGTTTTCCCGTGGAGGCGGGCCAAGAGGAAGTCAAGACTGGGCCCGCCCTGCCAGCAGGTGCACCCCGGGGCTGCAGAGGGTGCCCGTGGGCACGCCCACACGCGGTGGCACTGAGGTTGGCCCATGGAAGCATAAAAGCTGGCTTTGACAGCGCGGAAGACGGGACTCGCGGGAGCACCTGCCGGACCGCCCTCGTCTGGCCCCACACGCCTTGCCTTCACAGAAGACTGACCCCCACCTTCCACCTGCGTCTCCCACCCGCCATGCCAGTGCCTCCTCTCAGCCTGGCCAAACTGAGGGGCCACCCCCTCCCCAGCCACCCTGGGGATTTGGGACGATGAGCCCTCCTCCTCCCTCTCTCCCCTTGACCCGTTCCTGGTCTGTCTGCTGTGGACAGTTAAGAAAACCCTGACGGCTTTGTTGCCATCAGACGGCCCTACTCTGCGAGCGCCTCTCCAGGGGAATAAGGCTCTCTTGGCAGGTGAGCTGACTCCGAGTCTCTGGAGGGTTGGAGGGCCTCCCCACCCCCACCTCACGGCCAAGACTGCCTCAACGAGAAGAGCACATCCCGGCTTCCTCCCCAATGCACTTGGCAGACAGACTGTGATGGCCCAGAATGGGGGAGGGGTGTGGCAGCATCCGATGAAGTTTCCACGTGGTGAGAAGTCACTCCCCTCCTTACACCGGAGGCGAGCAGGGGACAGACCCAGGCACACGCTCACGGAGAACAGTCAGAGGCTCCCTCCCTGCTTTCTTTTCCAGGGGTTACTGTGTGGAGTTTTGCAAAGCTGCTGCTTCGTGGCTCAGCATGAGGCCAGTCCCTCCCCAAGCCTTTCTCAGCTGTATGCACAAACATCTGGAAGGTGGCCAAACTCTGGCCCATGTCTGGACTGGTCCCGTGTGGATAGCCATCTGGAAGGGCCGAGGGTTAGGGTTAGGGTTAGGACGAACAACTGTAAGGACCTAACATCTGGGACAGACCAACCCCTGGACAGATGCAAGAAATGAGCCCAGTTCTGTGGACAGGTCTGGAATAGACGCATCCGGAACAGTCTCCCAGGCTGAGTGGACACATCTGGAAGGGGCCCAGCTGCTTGCCGCCGTAGAAGGGCCCTGCCCTTTGTCCCCATGCCAGTTTGAATCGAGCTCTCATTTTTCAGTCGTGGATTTGCCCTGGAGTTAAGATTTCAGAGCTGAGGCCATATGTGACGTCACAAAACTGTTTTTGGTAGAAGGTTAATGTTCTGTACCATATATATATGAATGTAAAAAGATATATATATATATGCTGTATATATATATATGTATATATATATGCACAGTGTATATATGACCCGTAGCCCATGTGTATACGCACCCCTCCCTGCACGTCTGCACACAGAGTGTACATAACCCAGCCAGTATGGGTGGGGACCAGGTGAGGGATGGGGCGATAGCAGCCAAGTCTGGAATGGAGGCCACCTGGGGCAGGGCCGCAGAGAGCCCCGCGGGGATGGGGAGCACACATCAGAGCTCCAAACCCTGAAGAAGAGGACCCTGTGGCTGGGAGGTGAGCCTTGCCCGGGCAGCCTCTGCTGGGGGTGGGGGCAGGGCAGGAGAGACCGACAGGCCTTGTGTCAGTCCGAGCGTGTCTATGGCCTGTGCCTGAGGAGTAATGCCCTATCGGGACCTGGCTCCTGGGACCTCCGCCTGTCACAGTGGCCGGGCATGTGTCCGGCTCCACCCAGAATACCCTCAAAGGCTGGAACATTCTAGGCGGCGAAGGCCTCTGCCTCAGATTCTCACCCCCACACAGAGACGCAGTTCACAGCTAGGAAAAAAACGCTTTTCAGAGGGAATGACCCCAGAGGCACTGTCAGCATGCCAGTGCAATGTCCCAGTGCCCTACTTATGGACCCTGTCCCCATCCCCTGCCTTCTAGAACAGAAGACCTCAAACCACCCTACAGTATGTCTCTGTTTTACAGATCAGAACTCTGGGGCCTCCCGATACGGGGAAGCGGCTGTAGTCATG